ACACACACACACACACACACACACACACACACACACACACACACACACCCATGAGAATATGTGTGAATCTGAAGTTGGAACTGATGTAAAATTAGTAATAAGGGCCTTCAAGGTGGTTTAGCAGGTTAGGGTGCCTGCCACCAGGCCTGACAACCTGTGTTTGATCCCTAGAACTCATGTGGTGAAAACTGATTTCCCCAACTTGTCCTCTGACTTCCATATGCATGCTATGACACATATGTGCCCACACATATAAAAGTGCAAAAATAAACGCTTAAAATTTGTAATCAGAACAAAGCTTTAAAAATTATTTCTGAATGTCAACCTTCCATGGTGTTCAGAAGAAACAAAGTCATAACACTATGTAGTTTAATGCCTAGGAGTTCAAACACTGCTCTGCAGGGGGCCACACCACCCGGGGATTGAGGTGGCGACAACTCTTTTGAGTTCTAGATCAAGCCCAAACCTGCAGGCTCTCCTAACAATTCCTCCAGATGCTTTGTTTGCATGGAAGTAAGGGCAGAGTTTGGTCCATTCTACAAATAAATTTCCTTTCTGTCTCAGCAGTCTTAAGGATATAAAAACAATCTGAGATACTTTCTTTAGAATCGACAGGCCCAAAACATGGCAACAGAGGAGAACAAAGCAAAGCATCTTCAGAACCTGCTAGATCAGAGGGGAGCTCTGAAGAGGCTTTCTCGGAAGAGGCTTTCAGCACTGCACTAAGCACTATGCCAACGCTGCCTCTTTGCATTAGAGCCAGGAAGTAACAATTCTCAAAGACAAGAAAACTAGAAATAATACGGACAGCATGCCAAAGAATGCCCCGTGATGAAAGTTAGGAAATAGGCCTGATTCGCCCAATATTCCTTCTCTGTATCCATGTCAGAGTCAAAACCTTTTAAACATGGTGCTGAAGGGATGGCTGTGTCTAAAAGCACTGGCTATTCACCCAGAGGACCCAATTCCTAGCACCCACATGGCAGCACACAATTGTGAACTCCAGTTCCAGGAAATGTAACATCCTCTGCTGAACTCCAAGGGTACACACATAAAAATAAATAAGTCTGGGACTGGAAAGATGGCTCAACAGTTCTCTTCTTCCAGAGGAAGAGGACCTAGGTTCAAGCCCCAGTACCCACATCAGGTGGCTTAAAACCTGTAATTAGAGCTTCATGAAGAGTCAATATATCTGACCTATGTGACACACGTGCTCGCACACACACACATAAAAAATAAAAATAATCTTTAAACAAATTAATAAATATTTTAGTAAAATATTAATCACTTCTAAGTATTATATATGCAATCATCCTTAATTAAAACTAAAAGCTTTTTTTAATCTCCATGTATCCTGGACTTTTTTTTAATATCATTTATAAAAATTCACACAACTCAAGCAGTTTTGCTTTAGCTTCACAGAAGTCTTGAGAAAGAAACAGATGTGAGCTGAGCTTGTGAATTAGAATTCAAGGTGACTATGGTCCCTGGAAAACTGAAATCTAGACTTTCATGGGGCTTATGACAGAATTGTACTTAAGTGAGTGAACTTGCCAATGAAAGGATAGTTTATTTGTATGTATGTGTGTAAATGTATGTGTGGTATGTATGTATGTATGTATGTATGTATGTATTATGGATGGATGGTGGTGCACATTGTACCTGTGTGTGGAGGCCAGAGGACAACCTTAGGTGTCATCCTCAGGAAAACAATCTATCCCTTTTGAGGGAGGGCCTCACTGGCCTGGAATTCTCCATATAAGGCAGGCTGGTTGGCCAGTGAGCTCCAGGGATCCATCTCTCTGATGCCCCACCCCCACCCCCAGGGCTGGGACCCGACAAGGCTGCCACCACTCACATCATTTTTCATAAGGTTCTTTGAAGCCAGCACTTTGACAACTAAGTGACCTCCCAGTCTCCTACTCCTTATCTCTGGAAAAACCAGTCACCACAGGTTCTAACTGAGATTTCTGAAGGTTGGATACCTACTGAGTGTTGTCATGTGCTGAGGTCATAAACTGGAGCATAACTGGGCGAACACATCGCATGATTAAGCTCCCTTTGTAGCTCACTTCTTCTGAAAAGAATCTTTCTATTAACATACAAGATTAGGATTCATTACAGTGTTTTTCAAACAAGGTTTGTTTTGTTGTTTTTTCCCCCTTTGTCCCCCTCTCCCCCTTCTCTCATACCCTCCCCTTCCCCGGGACCCCTTTTCCACATACATGTCTCATGTGATACTGTTCTCTCCTCCCAACCATACTCATAGATACTGCTTATTCTTTCATGGTCTTCTGAACAAAACCAAAATGGGATAAAAAGCCCTCTTAAAGGAGGAAAGATTTACTTTGGCTCATGATTTCAAGATGAGCCACCATGGCTTCATCTTTGGCAGCAGAAGCCAAGCTGATAGGCCTATGAATCAGAGCCAAGCTATAATGTTAGGACCCCGCCCCCCCACCGAACTGAGCCTCTTAAAGGCTCCTCATCCTCCCAAAACAGCACCATTACCCGGGGGAAGGGGGGACTCAAAACATAAGCTTCTTATATTTGGGGTATCTTTGAAGTTTAAGCCACCACATGCCTAAATTATAATTCCATTCTGAGAATAAGGAGCTAAAACTAGCCCGCTGTTTCTGTCCTCAAAAGACAAGTAGATGCTCCACTGTGTCCTCCATTTCAGACGGCAACATCAGCACCATCCAGTCGATGCACGTTGGGGAGTTCAATCAGAAACTGGTGGAAGCCAGCGCTCAGTTTAAAAAGAAACAGGGAAAAGGCACCATTGATGTTTGGTGGTTATTTGATGACGGAGGTAAGCAGTCCAGAGTGTTCACTGAGGAGCAGGACTCCTGCGGTGTTATCTTAACTAAGTTCATGCATATGAGAAGGGTGTCAGTTAGACAGCCCTGTTTCTGAGTTCCCAAAGACCACAAGTCATTCAACAGCCGATAATGAGAATGGATAAAAATATCACTCTCATTTTTTCCTATCGATTTCTCTCATCCTTTCTGTGGTAATTTGCTCTTTATTCCAGGGTTAACACTGCTTATCCCATATATCTTGACTCTCAGAAAAAAATGGAAAGATTGTAAGTTAAGAATCTATGTTGGAGGAAAGATCAACCGCATCGAAGAGGAAAAAATTTCGTGAGTAATTTGGGACTCACCTTTCTGGACACTCTGAGGACAGGCTGCTCTGTTGCCTTAAATGTCTTTGAGAGAGCTAGGTATGGTGGTACATATCTTAATACTCAGAACTAGAGAGTCAGAGACAGGCAAATCTTTCTGAGTTTGAGCCGAGCCTGGTCTACTACATAGGGAGTTGAAGGCCAACCTAATTCACATGTTGAGTTCTTGGCAAGCCAGGACTATATACTGAGACCCTGTCTCAAAAGGAAGAAAGGAAGGGAGAAGGAGAGGAAAGGAGAGAGGG